GGATGGCATATGTCTTGAGTACTTTGGAAGGAGATGCTCGCAAACACATCGACCCTCACATTAACGACGATAGCTCCTTCAAAGTAAGCTTGTCATCGGTCGACGACATGCTCGATGTCTTACGCCGAACCTTTGGTAATGTCTATAGTAAGTCAGACAGCTGGCAGCTATTGAAAAAAGAGACTCAGGGACTTCGCCCTACTGACCAATTTCTAAGCTCGTTCTTAGCACTGGCGTCTGCCTCTGGAAACGAAGGCTTCCCTGTCATTGACCTTCTCATGCAGAATATGGACAGACGCATTCATGCTCAAGTCCTCTCCAGCGGCCGATATAGCGACGACATGTCCCCCCACGACCTAGTCAACCTTGTCCGAGAGCAAGACCGCAACTGTAGAAAGATCTTCGGCGAACACTTCACCAAGACCAAGCCTACCAAGCTCGCTTCCATGGCTCTTACCCCCTATACAGTCCCGACGCCTACTGCCTCTACTGCTACTGCTACTGCTTACGAAGACCCGATGGAGCTCGATATGATGAAAGTTGCTGGAAGACTCGTTTGGACTAAGAAGGACGTAGAAGCAAAGCGTCGTGCGAAGACCGATGAAGAGAAGACAGCTCGCAAAGCCTACCAAATCAAACACGACCTTTGCCACTATTGCGATAGCCCCGACCACAATATTGGCACCACTGGATGTCCCAAGCTTGAGGCTCGAGAGTCGACGAAAGCTGCGAAGGAAGCGGGAAAAGTCTAGTCTCTGACGAAAGTCGCCGTCAGAGACGTCTTCGGAAGAAGGTCCTGAAGATATCATCTCTAGAGGAAAGGCAGAAAAGTACGATGGAGGTTCCTTGTAAGGTAGTACAGAAAGGCAATACCAAACACATAACTTCTACTACTTACTTTATGCTCGACTCTGGGGCTTCAGCTCAATATTTCATTGATTCCGATTATGCGCAAAATTGTGGTTTTGAATTCGTCCCACTCGCTCGGCCTCGTCGTCTCCGCATCGCGGACGGGAGACCTTCTTCAGCAGGTGATGTTACTCATATAGTTATCTTGGACATGATTGTCGGGAAGCATGTAGAACGTCAACAACGCTTCCATGTTACTAAACTCGCCTCCCACAACATCATCATAGGACACCCGTGGCTCGCTCTCCACAACCCTCAAATTGACTGGACGAACCACAGTATCGTTTTTGGCTCTACGTACTGTAGAGGACACTGTATGCCTAGGAGGTTGGATTCGGTTCAAGTGAAATGCACTCGTCACGACGTTTCACATATCCCTAAGCCCCTGAAAGTCAGCGCTGCCTCCTTCAACCGGCTGGCATCTACTCACGGCGTTGAAGTGTTCTCTCTATCTGTTTTTGAAATAGACAAAAGGTTAGAGGAGTTAGGCGCGAGCCCTTCTACTCCCGACACCTTGTACAGCATTCGGATGGACGATGGCCTCTCGGGCCAGAAGCGCATGGAAAAGGAGTTACTGATTCAGGACGACTTCCAGCACAAAACCACCGATTCTCGCCAAATGGCTGCTGAACTCTACCTCTGCGGGGCCTCTCTAGACGACATCCAGAAGGCACTCGCAAAGTACAACAACCCTGGAGAGCACGTTGATCCTGAGACTTTGCTCCCTCCACACTTGAAGAAGTGGTCATCTCGGTTATTTAACCGTCAGAAAGCTGATACGCTACCCCCACATCGAGACTGCGACCTGAAGATTGAATTGAAGCCTGGTTCATCTCCTCCCCATGGACCTCTATATAATATGTCTATCCCAGAGTTAGAGGTCTTACGTAAGTACCTCGACGAACAGCTGAAGAAGGGGTTTATTCGAGCAAGTAAATCCCCGGCTGCCTCCCCAGTACTTTTCGCAAAGAAGCCTGGTGGAGGACTACGCTTTTGCGTGGATTACCGAGCACTAAACGATATTACGATCAAAAACCGGTATCCGATACCCCGAATCCAAGAGACACTCCAACGACTCAGCAAAGCAAGGTACTTCACCAAAGTCGATGTCATTGCAGCATTTAACCACATACGAATTAAGGAGGGGGACGAATGGCTAACAGCTTTCAATACTCGCTACGGCCTCTTCGAATCTCTAGTCATGCCATTTGGCCTTACGAACGCTCCAGCAACCTGGCAAGCCCGGATTAACGAAGTACTCCGCCCGTTCCTGGATATCTTTTGCACTGCCTACATAGACGATATACTCATCTATTCAGACGACTTGACCTCGCATCGTAAGCAGGTCGAACAAGTGTTCGAGGCTCTCGAAAAAGCCGGCTTCCAGCTGGACATTAAGAAGTGCCAGTTCGAAGTCCAGGAAGTCACCTATCTAGGCATGATTATATCAACGGATGGAGTGAGAATGGACCCTGAGAAGACCTCGGCTATCACGAACTGGTCTAGGCCAGCTCACCTCAAAGACCTCCAGGCGTTCCTTGGCTTCTCGAACTTCTACCGGCGCTTTGTTAAGGATTTCTCGAGGTTAGTTAAACCATTGAATTTACTATCTAAGAGAGGCGTAAGGTGGGAATGGACCTCGACTTGTGATAAATCGTTTCAAGCACTTAAGCAAGCATTCACTTCTGCACCAACACTTAAGCACTTCGACCCAGAGAAGGAAGTCATTGTCGAATGTGACTCCTCCGACTACGTCTCGGCCGGCATCTTGTCCCAATACCACGATGGAGTTCTCTACCCTGTTGCCTTTATGTCAAAAGTCCTCGACCCCGCGGAATGCAATTACGAAATCTATGACAAGGAACTACTTGCCATAGTACGTTCCTTCGAGTCCTGGCGCTCCGAACTTGTGGGAACCGCGTACCCTGTGTCAGTAATCACTGATCACTCCAACTTGAAGTACTTTATGACTACTAAGCAACTGACCCGCCGTCAAGTCCGGTGGAGCGAGTTTCTCTCTGAATTCGACTTTGTTATTAAACCTGTACCTGGTAAGAAGAACACCAAGTCCGACTCACTTACTCGTCGATCCCAAGACCTCCCGAGCCGAGACGACGACCCTCGGATTATATACCAACAACAGTCACTTCTCAAACCTCAAAATTTAGACCCTGCCATTCGCTTAGCACCTCTAAACGAGGAAGAACGACCCACTGAACAAGAGGAACCAGAACCAGAACCAGACGAGCAGGGAACTGAATCCGACGACCATATCTTGACTAGGATGTTAGAGGAGGGGTACAAGGAAGACCCTTTCTGGAAGAAGACTTCTAAGGAAATGAACAGAGAAGACCGCACACCACACTCCAAAGAAGTCGCATTGTCCGAGTGTCGGATCGACGACGGCAGGCTATACTTTCGGGACAGGCTATATGTCCCAGATACAGAACTACGAGTATGGCTTCTCCAAAGAGCCCACGACTCGGTCGAGAGCGGTCACCCAGGCAAGAACAAACTATTCGAGCTCATGTGTAGACATTATTGGTGGCCGAAACTTTACCGCGATATCACCCAATTTTGTAGAGCCTGTACAAACTGTCTTCGGAACAAGTACTCCCAGCTACGATACCAGGGCACTTTAAAATCACTCCCAATACCGCTTCAAAGATGGAGAGACTTATCAGTCGACTTTATGGGCCCTATTCTGTTGGTCGATGGATTTGACCAGATTATGGTCGTTACAGATAGGCTCACTAAGGATTGCCACATTACACCATGCAACAAGGATATGAATGCAGCCGAGCTGGCTCGCTTATTCGTGCGAGACGTCTGGAAGCTTCATGGACTACCAGACACTATCGTCTCTGACCGGGGTTCCTTATTCCTCTCAGACTTTTGGAAATCCGTCTGCGAAGTACTACGGGTTCGAGTTGATCTCTCTACTGCATACCACCCAGAAACTGATGGCCAGACCGAAGTCGCTAACAAATCCATTTCCAAGTACCTACGTCAGTACATCGACTTCGCCCAGACAGATTGGGTTCAATTCCTACCCTTAGCCGAGTTTGCTATGAGAAACGTAGTCAGCTCTGCAACTGGCATATCTCCGTTCTTTGCAAACAACGGTTATCATCCTCGCATGAGTTTTGGGCCACCTCGATCACCTACGCTCACCTCTCAGAACGCTCTTGCGGGAAGAACTTTTGCTCGGAAGATGGAGGAGATCTTGGGCTACTTACGTACTAATTTGCTTACTACGAGGGACCGTATGGAGGAATCTGCGAATGCGAACCGATCACCAGCCCCAGCGTACAGAGTAGGTGACATGGTTATGTTAAGCACAAGGAATATCAAGTCAGCGAGACCTATACCGAAATTCGACGCCAAGTACATTGGCCCCTACCGAGTACTTCAAATCATGAACTCCCACTCCTATAAGCTGGAGCTTCCCTACGAATTACAGTCCATCCACCCGGTTTTCCACACTAATTTGCTACGCCCCGCCGCCGGCGTCCCGATGCCAGGGCAAGTCAACCTAGCACCTCCACCTGTGACAGTAGACGATGGAGGACATGCTCTATGGGCAGTGGAGGAGATAGTAGACTCGAGGAGGAAGGGTAGAAAATTCGAATATCTGATAAGATGGCGAGGTTATAGCCAAGAGGAGAACTCATGGGAGCCATTGGTCAATGTTATCTATAGCGTAGCCTCGATACGTACCTTCGAGACTAGATTCCCTAATAAGCCTAAACCGACAAAGAACGAACGGTTGAGAGCTTTTGCGGAACGAGAAAAGGTGTAGGAAAGAGGGACCTTATGTAACAGATTTGATTCAGTGAATTCGAGGCTTGGTGTCGGGTAGATTTCGGGAAACAAGGCACTGTAGATAGATAAGTAGCACTTCTGCTTGGAGAACTCTTCTCTCCTCGCAGACAATCTAATCATACACCCTGACATATTATCCCACCTTGGAATTTTGGTTGATGAAGTTAATGCCTAAGAGCGTGATGGAAGGGCAGAAACGGCATACAGCATATGCTTATGAGAAGATTAACCAACGGATAGATCTTAAGAGCGACCGACCGGATTTCATGACGCCTTTTATGAGGAACAATGTTGATTTCGAGAGTATCTCTCGAGACGAGATTTTGGCAACGTTCAACTTTGTTATTATTGGTGGTTCTGAGAGCTCAGCAACCGCCTTGACTGGAATATTTAACCACTTGTCGAGGAAGGAAAACAGAGACATTCTTGGGACGTTGTGTGCTGATATTCGGGGTAAGTTCGAAACTCAGCGAGATATTACTTTCGATTCAATTCAAGAGATTCCTAACCTCGAAGCAGTAATTAGTGAAGGCCTGCGATTATGCAACCCTGTCCCAGGAGGGCTACCTCGTGTTGTACCAGAGGGAGGAGATACCTACTGTGGAATATTCCTTCCTGAAGGCGTAAGTTCATCCTTTGATTATTTGCAAGCTGAGAATACCAACCTCCACTTGTAGACTCGCCTAGAAGCCCGTAACTTCGCAATAAATCGATCCCAAAAATATTTCGACAATCCAGACAAGTTCGCCCAGAGAGATGGCTTCCAGAAAATCAGCGATCTGAGGAATACTCAGAGGATAGACTCTCTGCTAGTAAACCTTTTACCTCTGGCTTCCATTGCTGTCTTGGGAGGCCGCTGGCGATGCTTGAGTTGAGGTTGGTTATCATTAAGGTTCTTCTTGCTTTTGACGTATCGGTGGATTCTGCGGACAGTGTCAACTTCGATGACTTTCCGGTCATTATGTTGATTCAGAAACTTCCTATGGTACTCCGACTTAAGTCAAGAGATGTTGGTATAGAGGTGGTCTAGAGATAGACCAGAAAATTTAGCGGTTTAATTAGTCGGGTTGATGGAAAGATTATCGCAAATGTGGTTATTATCATGAAGATTATAGTACTGTAAATATTACAGTTTTGAAATTCCAAAATTTAACGCTAGATATTTGGAATTCCATTCTACTCTAGATGCCCCTCATATATTAACTAAATTCTATTCAAGATTTCATTTCAAAGATGCTCTCGTATTATCCTGGATAAAATGGATTCCCTGAAATTCCATAGAATGTAGGCCCATTTGCCGATTACTATAGAATTAATCCAACTTTTGTGTTCGATATAGGTCTTGGTATACAGACAATTATTAATTCCCCTGTTACAATTCGTTAGATATGTAAATGTAAGTCCACTCTACCTCATTTAATCTATCCATTGTTCAATACTCAATACTCATAATAATAATATTTGTAGTTATTGACTGGCTTTGAAAGAAAGTGACTCAGTCAATAGACTTGTTTTCACTAATTTGAAACACTAACTGTTCTTTTTGTGTTATATTAAATAGTTACAAGGTTAGGTATGCTACAATAATCGTTAAGTTTCTCATTTTCAATACATTTATGGAAAATACAACATTAATTACCATTTGATTTTCAAATAATACGACAAACACTATCGGAGATAAAATGTTACAATTATCGAGGGCAAGGATAATAACATCTAGATTTGTTCTAGCGCGAAACATTCCTTTGTTACTACGTTATAACAGCCAACAAAGGAAGGAACAACAAAGACTCAAATGTGTTTTAGCGAAATTGAACGATTATGCTTTTGAAATTCGCTTGTAAACAACTTGAACAGGGATTTCAGAATTCTATAATAGCATTGAACTTTTTCCAACTGAATTGCTCAAGCTCACTCTTTCAATAATAAAGAACCATATACAACAAAGATGTCTGTTACAACTCCAAACTTTCTAGACCTACCATTCGAAATTCAAGAGAAAATTCTAATAGAAGTTCTCAAAGCTGAGAATTGCGAGATCATCACAGAACATGGAAATCTTTCGTGGTACAATCCATTCGAGGATATTAACAAGCAACTAGCGATTGAATCTAAGGAAGCTCAAAACAGAGCCAACGATTTGGTTCTTGTTAATGCACCCATTGCTTTCATGAAAATGGTCCGAAGAGTTATTCCGTTCAAGTTTGAAGTGATTCGAAATTCATTGAACCCGGTTGTTCTCGCAATTGATCTCCATTGCTTTGAAAACCATTACGATAACATCTATGTTGATACACGTGGCGTTGGAGACGGATATCAAGATCAAGATCCTACGCCTCCGGGAACCGGGATAACAACAACAGCGTATCTTCCGAGACTAATAGAATTGATAAATGCCTGTGGAAACATTGTGCATTGTGGGAGTTACCGCCAATACGGACCTTGGGATGAAATCCAACCATATGAAATTGATATTACGTTTGCGGTGAGTACAAAATACAATGCACGCCGCGCGCCACAGGTAGTCGACGAGATCGTCGATAGGTTAGGGGGACTAAGGCAAGTATACTGGATATACTGGCGTTCTGGACCATCCCCAACTCCACCTTCCATTCAGGTTAATATCCAGGGATTAGCAGCGAATGCTGAAGCTCGCCTTCGAAGCTCTTGGGGAGTTCCCGCTTGGACAGAGGAACAATGTTACGAGATAGCCGAAGAGTTGAAGCAACGAGGAGATGTTTTGGCATCACAAGATAGGCCTCTCGCTGCACGGAGCCATTACATCCTCTGCGGCCTAACCTTGATTCGGTACGGCTTCCCTACATTGCGAACCTTCCGCCACAAACTCAGTCTACGTGGCGTCGAGATCCTACTAGAGATGTGGGTGGCTGCCTCAAATTTGTCAACTGAACTTGGAAGGCATGAAGAAGCGCATATGATTGCTCGTACTGCCCAAATTGCACGGAAGTGCGCTCAGAGTGGGTGGGTAGATCGTTATAGACAGGGGATACCATTAGGCCAAGTCAGTAATGAACTTCAAGTCCAGGTGTCTCTTCAGTTCGCGAGTACACTATTTAACATCGGGAATGCTAAGCGAGATCTTGGCGTCCTGCAGGGGCCAAGATCACGAAGAGGTTCGCGAGAAACTCTCTGAACTTCGTCGCCAAATCTTAGTGCCAATTTGCTAAAGTGAAGAAGAGAGGACGGGATAGACTTGCACAGCCAGAACCCAAGCTACTCAAGATTCAGTAGGCTCTTGAGGGCCTCTTCAAAGACAAAGAGATTGATAAAATTGAAAAAAGTAAAGCGGGACTAACAGGAGGACTCTCCAGCTCCAAGAATCATTTTCGTTTAGATTGTGTTATTACTAGCTAGCGACGCACGTTAAAGGAGCGAAAAACAAATCAAATATTCCCCCCTGACCCCAATGACTTCTAAGTAGCATCGAAATCTGCAATTAGTATCGTGAATAGCTCAAGACCAAACTTCACCAAAGCAAGAGAGCACGTCCTTCAGTTCTCTCTTTTTCACTCATTAGTGCCGGTAAACGGCACTTACAAACCCCGACTTAGCCGGTTTCTATACAGTCCCTCTAGGAACTCGGTAGCAGAGATTCTCGTACACGTACGAAAATTTCGTATACAGGCCTAATTAGGTAGTTAAAAGTAGAGATTAAGTACTATAAAGTAGGCGTCTCTACTTTTCGGATTTTATACTTTATTATCCCCTACTAAGCGAAAACAGAGGGCATTTTACTTTAAAGTAGAAGAGAATGTTAAACTTTTAGGAACTAATATAGCCTATAATTAGCTTTAAAGAGAGTTTAAGCGTAACCGAGCTATCCGTCAGCTATTTGTCTATATTAGAGGGCCTTTCCCCTCCCTTTGTGACGACACGCACAGCTGATGGACCGCACAAGAGCACGACTACGTCAGGTATCACGAGTGGTGAGATTGACACTGTGGAACTGTCTATTCGAGGATTCTAAGCTAAGGAGAGAAGAGAAGAGAGCAGAGCTCGGGAGCCAGAGGTTCTTATATACAGGAGGTTGTGCCAAGCTATGGCTAACTGAGCCGGGCTCAGGAAGCACGNGCTAACTGAGCCGGGCTCAGGAAGCACGGTATCCGCTGGGTTCCAGCCAGGGGCTGGTCTGAGGTGTAGTGGCGGTTAGAACCGTCACACCCTTTACCTCTATAAACCACCTATAAGTACTTGGTTGTTTTCACCTATCCTTCTCCCTCTCCCTCCCTACCTGTAAGTACTTAGCCGTTTCTACCTGTCCCTCCCCCTCTATCTCTCCCCCTCTATCCCTCCCCCTCTGTCCCTCCTTATAAGTACTTTCCTACTTTACTATCCTATAAGTCTCTACTTCTATTATACCCCTATTACCGCCCCCCCTTTTCCTATAAACAAGTAAATAAGTAAACATATAAACGCGTAAAGAAGTAAATAGAGAACTGCATCTTTGGTATAATATTTAAGGTTTTACGCCTACCGTTAGTATACGAAAAAATACGTGCTAGGGATAGTTTTATACCCCGGGACAGCCCGCGGCGGGTGTTAGATATTTTTGTATATATCTGGCCTCGATTTCCCAGAGGGAGTAAATTCAACTCTCTATTATTGCCTTTACCTATTTAGGAAGTCGACAGTTTTGTTGCACATCGCACAGAGGTCTGCACCTTAAAAAATCGACACTCTGAGGATCTTGAGACCGATTTCAAGACGGCGAACGGAACCTCTAAGTCCCGACTTTTCCGGTTATTATATAGTGAATTCTTACCCCCCCTCTCCCTACTTACCAGTACCTATTGTAGTGATCTGTCATATATCTTATCTCCTCTCTCTTTCTTGTTCTTGTCTCGGCGGAACCGTTCACTTTCGTCGGGTGTTTTTTATAGGGCTCCTGTTCCTTAGAGGGTACCTCTTTCCTATCTGTATTGGATTTCTTTTTAGCATCTTCATTCTTTTGCTCATCGGGTATTACCACGTCGCGCTGTCTCTGGGAGCGTTTCTTTCTCATCATCATTCTTTTGTGGTTCAGTACCGTCTGTCGATTCATCAAGTTTCTTAGGTGGTTCTCCACCGCCACTCTGCTCGTTGGCGGAAGACATGATTCGTAATAAGAATGTTGCCTGGTATATGTGGAAAGCCAAGAGTGACTGTATAATTAAGAAAAGAGTTGCTTCCAGATAATCGACAAGCTTACTATATGTAGCAAGATCTAGGGTTATATAGCCCTTGCATAGGCTCCTCCTTTGTCGTAGTATTTGCTAGAACTCTGTTATGATGGAGTTATATGGTAGAAGATCTAGCTTCCGTGTAAAAAAAGGTGTAAACCACTACTTAGATATAATGACCACCTTAAGTCAGGTGTGAATTGGTGAAATGCTGTTTGTTGGAATGTGGTAGCGAATAGATATTTGTTTGCTTGTTTCGCTACTTTGGAACTAGGGTGTAACGACATCTATAATTGCGTGGGGCTTACCTATCTATAACTACCTGGGCATTTTATACAGGACTTAGTTATGTTACTATACAAATATGGGTTTATTGACTTACAGTCCCTTTATGTCTTCTGTGGCCAAAGTAGTTAAACTAACACCATTTTAAAAGATTCAATATCAAGCATTTGGAAACGGGAAATATAGTACGGACGGGAATCTTCTACTTCTTCCTTTCTTTGTCTATAGCTCTATAAATATTATCCGTTGTTATATGAGAAGATTTTACAGGTGCATTTGTCGTGATGAGTAGACCACATGCTTTACATACCACTCCAAATTATTTGTGGTAAATTATACTTAATTCTGGTGTATCCTTTAACCTCATACATGATATTTTTCTAGATGCTTCAAGTTTGTTAGTATCTAACTATGGTAGCGGGTTTTCTTGTCTAGTTAGCTTAATTGGCGAGATTACAATGTCAGGACCCAAGCTATCTTAAATCGCTAAAAAGGGTTTTATTAAATTCTATAGAGCTTGAAAAGTAGCAAACTTGTCTATCATAGCGTAAGCGAAAGACTATACTAAGTTTTCTACTGTTCTCGACTACCGAGAGGCTAGCATGTGATAATTGCCAAAGCGCTAGTATGTATATTAGACCTCGAGCCGTGGGCTCTTTTTCCTAGCTAACTTTAACTTAATGACACTCATTCCTTGGAGTCAGTTTCACGATGAACAAAGTACGGGTTAGAAGTCTAATAATAAGACCCGTATATAGAATGTTTCTCAGCCAGTGGGAGATAATGGCGCTAGTCCTTATCCAACCAATGATATATGAAGTAGAAGCAAGCAGCCCTGTTTGCTTTCGCCAAGCATGGCCAGCGAGCCAGGGGTCGGGTACGTACCTCCGCAGCGCCTGCGCCCGCACTGTGCCCTCCCTGCGGGGATTCCTGATTGCTATCATCTGCTACTCGGACTGATCCCTATTTACTTCTTTGCGCTCCCCACGTTAGTCCAATCCGCCATGGACATTTGACAACTACAAGACGATGGCTCGTAGCCAGAATCTGCAGCTTTTGGCGCTTTGGTAAGTCCATGCGGTGTCATCCCATCCCATCCTATACCACGCACATGCGATGCGATGCGCCAGTAATTTGTTTTTTGGGGTGGCACGAGGGCGGTTGTGGTCGACACAAACCATGGGTCTGGTGTTGGCATCTGGTTGCAAGTAGTGTGTGTACATCAGCTAACCTCACGCTACACAGCAACCTCATCGCGACGACAATATGGATTTCCCTCAAATACGACACTACCTCTGCTCTTGGTAATTATATTCCTCGCCAACTGCTGCGCCGAATTGACCACTAATTGCTGGCCGTAGAACGCCCCATCCACCTATCAGTATCCATTCTAGTGCTATGTAGCTTGCTTTGCTATACGCTTCAGCGACGGGCAGGAAAAGGCAACATCTACGTACTGCTACCTTTGCAACAGCTTGACGATCATGATTCAATTTCCAAGGAGGTCAATTCGCAGAAGAATCCGGCCCTTCGTGGGCGCATAGCGAGGCCCGCGAGGCAGATATGGGCCTTGATTCGACATCACAGACGCGCTGGCACAATCAAGCGTTCATGGGTGCTTTTGGTGTGTTGCATTACACTTCGAGTTGTGCTCTTCGGGAAAGTCATCAAATCGGTGCAATGCTCGTGGAATGGGGTTGAGGTGCGTTTCGTTACATATTGCTCTACATGATAAGAGCAGCAAAGCTAACGGTCCATGTCCAGTTACTTCTCCCTGTCCTCCTTGCGCTCTTCGAACGAGTCGACAAAGAGCATCCTGGATTCTATTCGCCTCGCTATTCTTTCCTTCTCGGTGTTTTTGCATTCTCTTCGCTCGCAACGATTGCTCTCACGACTCAAAATTCGACATACATCTGTCCCTTGGCTGATAACTGGGGGAAACTGGTGCGCTTCTTCCAGTTCTTGGGTTTATTTCTAGATGCTGGCATAGTGGTGGCTTTTTCTAGGATATCGAAGGACTCGGAAACCTCTGTCAAGCCGTGGTCTGTACTCACCGGATTGACTCTCACTTCCGCCTTGACAATCACTATCATTGCCGTGCTATCTCTCACAAGGGACACAGACGGTGTTCTCTATTCATTAATTCCGCCCTCGAGAATTGTTTATGGGATATTTTTTTATGCCCTGTTGTGGACGGTCTGCCTGGCATCAATTGTTTATTTGATGAGTGAGCTTCGCCCTAAATTGATTTTCACTATCGCGGCATCTATTTCGCTATATTTCTCTTTCTTTCAGGGATCGCAGAGGGGTGATTTCTCTCCTAACCCTCCCTTGCTACATGTGGCAATTTGCTTCATTGGATATGCGTCCATCACGGGACTTCTTCGCCTCGAGCGAGAGGCAATATTGACTCAACGAAGCCTCTCATTAAGCCAAAACTCTTGTAAATTCCTGGCGGTGCTCTTTGGATGTTTGGGCACTTTCTTCTTTGGGTCACAACTCCTATGTCTTTTCACATCAACTCGACGAGAGCCACATCCCATCAATACTCTGATTCTGGATGCACAACAGGCTTCTGTAAAGTGGGAAAAACAGGCAGCACTTAGCGACACACTAGAAGAGGCTGTTTTGGAATATCAATCACGATATGGAATACCCCCACCACCAAACTTCGACATATGGTACGAATTTGCCACTGCTCGGGGTTCAGTTGTTATTGATGACTTTGGGCAAATAAATGACGATCTCCTGCCCTTTTGGGGTATGAAACCCGCTGAAATTCGGAGAATGACAGCTCACATGATGGAAAGACCTTGGACCGAAGTCGGGTCTTTACGAATCTCAAACGGAACGACTATTATTGGACCTCATATGGCCCCTACACATAGATGGATGATTGAAGAGGCCAGTTTTATGATGAATGAATTTGTTAAATGGCTTCCCGACATGGATCTGGCTTTTGATATCAACGATGAGAGTCGTGTCACTGTTCCATGGGCAGAAATGAAAAAACACAAAGAAGATGCAATTCTTGCTAGAAAGAAGTTGAGCCAGAGCAAAAATCTGCAATCTTTTAGCACAGATATTGCGTGGGATAGCGACTTTCTCTCTCCGGAGCCTCCTCTAAGTTCGCCTTCGGAGTATTTTTATAGCGCTTCTTTCCGGTCCTCATTCGAGGAATACGGAACAATTGGCTGTCTCCCTGATTCGCTTTCTCGAAGCCAAACACGGTGGAATCAGAAATCTTTTTGCCCCCAATGTGCTGCACCTCATTCACTTGGTCCTTTCATAAGCAACTGGACACTCTCTGGTTCTTTGTGCCACCAACCCGATCTTCGAAACCTACATGGACTTCATCTGTCGCCAGCAGCTTTCAAACCCACCACCAAGCTCTATCCCATATTCTCTCAATCAAAAATACCCACCTTCAACGACATTCTATTTCCCTCTCCGTGGAATTATCAGGATAAAGTGAACTATGAGAGCAACAAAGACCCCTCTTTTTCCAGAAAACAAAACACGCTATTCTGGCGTGGGGCTACTTCGGAAGGCGTCGCATTACATGGGGCATGGCAAGGCATGCAACGCCAACGATTTGTGCATCTGATGAACTACGCTCAAAATACCACGACTCACAACTTTCTTCTCACACAAGCCCAAGGGTATGGGTACTGCCACCAATCCCTCCCTCTTTCAGAACTCCGCTCTGCAACTAATATCGACGTTTCATTCGTGGATAGCCCAGCTCGATGCGGTGGTTACGACTGCCAAATTCAGAAAATAGAATTTGACTGGGGGACCTCCGTCAGTTTCCAAGACCACTGGCAATACAAATATCTATTTGATCTTGACGGCGCGGGTTTCAGCGGACGATTTCTCCCATTCCTTAAAAGTCGAAGTCTTGTTCTAAGAGCGGCTAGTTTCCGACAATGGTTTGATGAGAGACTTACGGCCTGGACGCATTATGTTCCTGTGGATCCAAGGTTACATGATGTGTGGGACCTGCTTGCGTATTTTGGAGGGATAGGAATCGCGAGGATTGGTGCGAGGGAGGCGGAGGCGCAGAAGATTGCGCTTGACGGACGAAATTGGGCGGGGAGAGTGTTGAGGAAGAACGATATGGAGGTCTATATGTTTCGGCTGCTACTGGAGTGGGGGAGAATCGTGGATGATCGCAGAGAGAGTATTGGGTTCGTTTTACCAGAGAAGAAACCGGTGGAGCCGGTGCAACGGAAATAGATGAAATGATTGTTATGATGCAATGAATGGTTGTTATGTTTTAATTTACGGTCTTTGGATAATTCTCCTCCCATGTTCCTTTTGATTCTTTATATGTGAAGTTTGGAATTTGGTGACTTCTGGTGGTCAACTTTACTTGTGTACTCATGAGTAGGTATCGTTTTCTGGGACTGACTAGTGCGTTCGTGTAAGCTACTATCAGAAGTCGAAGTAAGAATCTAGGAGGAATAGTTACTATTTAGCTATGATTCTAAATCAAAATACTCGATACTTTCGTAAGCTTTTAAGAAGTTGTAGGGATTATAGCGCTAGTCTAGAATGTTCTAAATACTAGTAAAGATCAAGATAAGTCAAACACACATATATTCTAACCGCAGCTGGGCCGATATGCCATACCGATTAAGAGATGGGTACGGTAGTAACATTGAATCCAGGATCACCGGTGAGATTCTCAAACCAGTCCGAGGAACGATTCCACTGTCGATGCGGTCCCAATGAGAGCTTAGCTTTCACATCTCTGAAAGACCCTTGGCACCAGCCATCCCAAGGATATAAATCAACCGATGTATTAGTCGCGTTTGATCTGCCGAAATAGACGCCGTCAAAGGTGAGCTCGGCCCCAGAAGCCAGTGAAGAATTGAAGTGTATCCGCTTGAATTCTGAGTCGAGTTGAACTTCGGAGTGGAGATACCAGGCCCCTGTTCCTGGTCCCGAGGGACAACCACCATCCTCCAATGTTGAGAACTTTCCGCATGGTGATTTTCGTGTCTCGAGGGAAGCAATGATTATATAAACCACCGCGAACAGAAATAGTACGACCGTGTAAATCTTGTACCATAGCGATTGTACACAGGGTAGTATTACCGTACTGCTCTTCTTCTGGAAGGAGTAAAAGCCCACAATAACTGTCATTGTTGTCGTCGTGAACGTATAGAAGCAGGCTTCGACATAGGTTGTTGTTGTCAGAATCACATCCGATCCGATACCATCGCTCAAGAACCACGGAGATACGGCCCAGATACTCAATGCCGAAGAGAAGGATAGTAGCGAGAGAAAGATTGCCTGAATAAGCCAACCTCTCCAGTTCCTCTTCGGAAAGGAGGAGTATGTTGGATATTTATTCGTAGCACGGAAGGGCCACGGCGTAGAACAAAGCTTATGAAGCTCGTAGCCTCCTGCATTCTCCAATATCGACTCTCCAATCTGCGTCTCGTACTCTGCGAAATAGCCTTCGTCGGATATCCAATATGCAGCCGGGAGTCTCAAAAGCCCCAGGACTGCCAGAGGATAAAAGAGGGTTGCGAGCGAAGGCATCCATCCGCCACTAAACCCAGAATTCAATTCGACAAGCGATTGAACGCCTTGGAGCATGACGACAAGAGTCTCCGCACAGCTTCTCGACATGAGAGTCATGCGAGGTGTCTCAGCAACCCTTACACACAGTCTCTGACTTCGTTCCATCATCTCTTCCGACCCGTCCCATCCTTTTTCTGTCCAGAATCTTACATTGCTTGCGGCCATGTGAAACGAGTTCCAATTCTTGCAGCGGATTCGACGGTCTGGGAGTGCGTAATACCGCCAGATGATCGTTGTTGGGTTGTAGAAGCCTAGTTTATCGTGCCATGATGGGAGAGATTTTTGGAAGTAGACTGGATGGGGAATTCCGGATATGATATGGACGACTAGGGGTGCAAAACAGAGAGTGATAAGTGTGAGCCAGTCGCTAGCAGAGATACTCTCAGATGCAGTTCTGACAGAGAGGGGCCCGACGAAACGCATTGCCTTTATTTACAGCACTTTACATCCACGAAGTATGACAGAAAAAGGAAAGGAAAGGGGGTTATGAACGTCATTCGAGGAAGGGGCTGAGTATATATTCTCCTTTCGCTACCTTGTGGCGAGCCTTAGGTTGCTACAGTAGCACTGCATGTACAGTACTGCTCACCCATACAGTAATGTGACCCTACTATATTACCCGGAAGCAACCCGGGAACCGGTTTCTAAAGCCCCAGCAGGACACAAGATTTTCAGGCAGGATTCTTAAGAATAAAATCTCATTGATATTTGATGGATTTTCCCATCGGGGATTACAGCGTTTTTGCACGGAGTTTCTTTCTTGGTCGTTGTGCCCATGTTCCTTTGTAAAAGATGGCTGGATGAGAACTTCTTCAGCAAATTGTATCGTCGGATGTAAGAGGTTTGCCGTGGGCGGTGAATAGTAAGGGCTTTGAAGATATAATAAATTATCGTCAGTTTGCATAGAACGTGTTATTTACTCTAGTGCCCTCGCTTAGACATCTGTTTTGTGTAGCCAGCGTTCGGCATCTGAAACTTCATTCCATACCATACCCTGTAAGAGTGCGATAGCGACAAGGTCAACTGTATGCGTAAGAACTAAATTGTCTACAAAGAGTGGAAGTGATCGTAAGATCTGAGGCTATTTACAGTTCCAAGGGCACGGGCCACATCGCTTCCTCCACGTCTGTACCCTCACATATGGTCCCTCCTTACTCCAATTTCTCGGCTTCTTTCTCTTGTAATTGGCGGGCTTTGGTAATCTCAGCCTTCGTAGGCTTCAACTTACGTGGGAAACGCTGCTCAAACTCTTTGATAGAGGCCACAGCATTGACTATATGAACTAAGGGTTCCCATGTCTGATCATTTGGGTCATAGCCTCTCCATCGAACTAGGCATTTGAATACTCCTTTGACTCGCTTAGCATCCAATATCTCATCAATGGACCATAATTCATGCCCGGAAGTGTCTACAAACAAAGGGGGTGTAGGTTCGTTTTGTTGCCCAGGGAGTGGTATGCCAGCACTAGGTTTAAGGTGGTTAGTGTGGAAAACAGGATGAATAGACTGGAGTTCGTAAGGAAGTCGTAATTTGTATGCGTGTGAGTTGATTATTCGTTCAATTGGGAAAGGTCCTATGAATTTAGCGTCGAGCTTTGGAATAGGTTTTGAAGAGTCAATGTTCTTGGTGCTTAGTAGGACCATGTCGCCCACGCGATACGCCGGTGCTGCTCTCCTACTAGTGTTGGCGAAGCTTTCTTGCGAATCGCGAGCTGTAATAAGATTGGTGTGTAGTAGTTTCAAGATATCTTCCATCTTGTGTGCAAAGTCTGACGCGTCCTTATGGCGAAGTTGGCGATGTTCCGAGGCGTTACGAGGAAGCACTCTTGGAGGTCCAAAACTCATTCTGGGGTGGTAACCATGATTGGCAAAGAAAGGCGATATACCAGTAGATGAGTTCACCACATTACGCATAGCGA